ACTATATAAGAATAAAAGTGGTTTTCAAACCACCTTACAATACGCCGTTCCCCAGAGATACAGATTTTTGGCTCTGCCCGAGCGATGCAGGATTCTTCGGGTATGACTGATTTTATTGGCTCTGCCTGGTCGTTGAGTGGTCTGCCAGGTTTGACAGTTTCAGTGGCTCTGCCCGCGCGATGACAGATCTTGCCGGGTATGACAGGTACATCCCTTGCTTTGCCTGTGTGTGGGACGCCCACCAGGTACAGCATTTTCCCCGAGGGTACTAGTTGCGGTGAGAGTTTTCTGTTATTAACACAGAATCAGTTTTAGAACGTTCAAAAATCACATTCAGTTTTTAGTATCTGCTACGAGCGATACCTCAATTGAGTTTTAAGAATATTAGAGAGCCTTCTATTAGCCACAGTTTCAAAATAAGATATCAGCTTATTTTTCAATATCGTAAAAGCTACAGTATCCAGTTTAAATTTCTGTTATCAGCATAAATTTACAGTATTCCAAAATCATGTATCAGTGCATAGCTTCAAAATCAGTTTTCATTTTATATCATCACATAGTTATATTTTAGTTACCAGAATTTGTTCTGAGAGTCATGATGTGTTCATTGATTGATGGTTTGGATGTTTGCAGCATGACTAGTAAGTTATTATTATTATAATCTATGCATTCTTGAGTGATGAACAAATGTTTTGCAGCATGACTTATAGGAAACATTGTTCCCAGAAGCATAAGTATTTACAGTTATGTTTTAAGTTTCCAGAAAGAGAATTTAAGCATTCATGATGAGTTATAATTCAGGATTTGCTTTCAGCTTAAATGATGAGTTATACTACTTAGAACAATTTAGAAAACGAGTTATACATCCTACAGGAATGATTAGTTACTTCCATAACACGTTCATAGAATCATGTTGTTTTCAGGATTTCAAGAACTATTGCATGCCTGACTATTGTTGAAGAATGTTTTGCAAACTCTCCCCAATCCCCCACTCACTGATTATTTCAGCTCACCCCTTTTTAGACCCTTTTCCCCGTTTCACAGGAAAAGTCGTGCTAAGGAGTGATTCCTCTCAGGTTGGGCCCTTACGTCATCGACTCATCATGTGTGTAAAAATGTCATGTTGTTACCGCTCAGAATTATGTTTTATCCTTATGTTTATCTCTTGTGTTGATATAAGATTGAATATCTGATACCTCGTTTTTGGATTTATGAACTATACAATGTTAGCTTTCAGATTTTCAAATGTATACATATATATATCTTATGTGTTTATGCTTTCAAAACGTTTCAAGCGAATGGTTTTATGAAAACGTATTTAGAATACAGGTTTTTAGATTCCCACACGCACGTCTCGGCCGCCCGAGTCTCATAGGTGCGCCCGAGCTTATGGGTAGGGAGGTCGGAGCGGGTCATGTCAAATGGCCTCTGGAAACTGGAAATTTTGGTTCAACTGATGAGCTTACTCTGCGTTCATTCTCTTACAGTGAGCTTAGGAGGGCAACAAATGGATTCGAAGAAGGCAGTGGCGGATCTAGGAGTTTCCCTTATGGGGGCAAATATAAACCAAAAAAAAAAAATTAAAAAAAAAAAATTAAAACCAATCTAACTACACTTTTTTTTTTTCATTACAATGAGCTTCAATGAAAAGTTATAAAATACAAATAAATATCTTCAAAAAACATAATTTTTGTAAAAATAGAACAATTTTTCTACAATTATCCTTGACTAATTTTCCTATTCTGAAGACGTTGGATAATCATCTCATTGTTAATTGTATCAAATACATCTTTCTCAATATAGATGATCAAGCAATCATTCATCGATTGATCTCCCATTCGATTGCATAATCGATTTTTCACAAGATTCATTGCAGAAAAAACTCTTTCAACAGTCGCAATCACAACTGATAAAACCAATGCAACTTTCACAAGCTTATACACCAACGTATGCAAAATTTCTTTTTTAAATTGAACTAAATTCTTAACTAAATCACCAATTTCTTGTAACTTAACAGATTTATCACAAGAACGTATGTTACTAACATAAATCTCAAACTGGTTCTCAAGTACCATCAATTCAACTGCAAAAAAATCAAATTGATAAAATTGACCAAACCCATTTCCTTTTCCTTTGCTTCTTCTTCCTTTCTTCTTTATGGACTTTTCTCTCTTTTTATTCATTTTTTACAAACAACCCAATTTATATATAAAACAACTTCTTTGAGTTATGAAACTGCCTCAAGATTCTCTTATTCTCACCATGATCTCTCCACATTAGCTTTTTGATGTAAAAATGCCCAGATTTCTCCCATCAGTTAAATTCAAACCCAACAGTTCTTATTCCTTTCATTTTCACTCCTAATAAAACTTTTAAAAACTAACAGATCCTCTTGCATAAAAATAAAAATCACAAAAAATATGAAATATATATACTAGCAGTAAAAATAGGGTTTTACAAAAATAAAATCCAAACTAACCGTGGGGGTTGTTTTCAAAACTCATAATTCTATAAGTGTAAAATTTAAATAAATATAAGATATGGACTTTTTTCAAAAGTTGAGTGGGGACTCTAGTCCCCATAAGTCATTAATTGGATCCGCCACTGGAAGAAGGTCTGGGCAGGGGCTCTTTTGGTGCACTCTATAAAGGGGTCTTATTCAAGGGTGAAAAACTTGTTGCTGTCAAGGGATTGGAGAAGATGATGAATGATGGTAGGGAAAGAGAATTGCATGCAGAGGTGCATGTAATTGGTAGAGCAGATCATAGGAACTTAGATCGGCTGCTTGGTTATTGTGCTGAGGATTCAAAGAGGCTTCTGGTGTATGAATGCAGATATACTCTTTTGCTCCAAAACATCCCCAGATTGGAACGAGAGAGAGAGCATTGCATTAGATGTTGCTAGAGGAATTCTTTATCTCCATGATGAATGTGAAGCGCTTATCATTCACTGTGATATAAGGCCTCAGAACTGTCTGATGGATGATTTTTGGATTGCAAAACTCGCCGACTTTGGTCTTGCAAAACTGTTAATGCCTGACCAAACAAGGACTTTCACATTGGTGAGAAGGACAAGAGGTTACATGGCACCAGAATGGTCGAAGAACATCCCAATATCAGTTAAAGCTGATGTTTACAGTTACAAGGTAGTGCTGCTGGAAATTGTTTGCTGCTGAAGAAACTTGAATGTTAATGCGTCAAAACTGGAAGAAATAATTCTTATTAATTGGGTTTACAAGTGCTTCATCAACCGAGAGATGAATAAGCCTGTTCGGGGTGAAGAAGTGGATAAGAAGACTTTTGAGAACATGGTTAAGGTGGGGCTGTGGTGTGTTCAAGATGAACCGGCCCTTTGTTCTTTAATGAAGACTATGGTGATGATGTTAGAAGGGATTACTGATGTCTCTATTCCTCCTTGTCCCACTTCCTCCTCAGGGTAAAATCTCATATATATGGAGTTGACAATTGCTGAATATCTGTTGATTGTATTTTTGTTTCAACGTATGTGATAGGGCTTTACAATAAGAAAACAAACTGTAATCTTCTGATGAGTTAAGTGGTAGGCATAGGAATAATCTTGAGTATGTAGATTTGCAACTTCTAAATTTAAAATAAAAGACTCCTATGTCATATAAATACAGTAAGATGTTTCTGTAGTTTTGTTTTGCAGATGGTCCTGGAGCATTCTTCTTCTGTTTGAAGCCCATTCAGATCTTTTCGATGCATAATGCACCAAAGATTTACGAAATTAGAATTCTAAGACTTTAATTAAGGTCCTAAAACTATTTGAAATGACTGAACCAATGAAATGTAGGGTGAATTATACAGTAATTCAAATCTCTAAACATATTTGTAGAAATGTAAATGATTCCTTTAGTTACAAGGAAAGTCATCTCTTTAGGATTCATATCTCTTTGCAGCTAAACTATTAGTGTTATACTCTTAAATGCAGAAGCATGTCCATTAAAGCAGGTGTTTATGATTGTTAAAGACGATGTTGCTTCTAGGTATGTTTGTGTTTCTATATTTCTTTGGCATTGGTTATGGAAAAGAAAAAGTCCTCAATGGTTCAGGGTTTTCATATACTTCTGTTTAAAGTAAAAGAAACTTTGAATAAAACAACCAACTAAATGAATAGTCAAATGGGATGAACTTCAGTGAACTTATTGACCTTGACTACCTTAGCTGGTGAATTTAGTTACTAATTAACTTACCGAAGACTTGACTTTGCTTAGCTGGTGAGTTCAGGTTGTGACTAACCTGTGATTTGTTCTTGCAATTAAAATTCTATATCTTTTCTGGCATAGTACGCAGCTACCGAGTCAAGTCTTCTTGGAATCTTGGATTTTCTGTGGAAAAAAATGCAGGGACCGACAATATTGACTAAAACCCAAGTTTGCTTCTGGATGTAGGACCGATCGTTACACTACATCCATCAAGGTTACTTGAATCGCTGGAAATTTGAAATTTCTCTTGGTTACCAGTGTTTTTTTTTTTTTTTTTTTTTTGCAAGGTTAATTTAGTTCACTTAATGCTAAGTCAATAGGTCAACCAGTTAACAACTCCACCCATTAATTTCTTCTTGTTTGGAAAATTCAGCTTCAAGGGCATAAAGATTCTAAAGCATCCATTTGTGGGAAAAAACAAAAAAAAAACTTGTTTCTTCGAGGGTCTTTCTGATGGCTTCTATACAAGCAATGTGCTTATTACTCAGCGCATTCAAGCTCGATCAGAATGCTCAAATATCATCTGCCCAGGATCTTTTCTTTCCCCCAACACCTGCAGCAGTTCATGGCCCTCACCTTCCGGCCTTTTTGCATTTGGTTTCTACCAAGAAGGCAATGGATTTGCAGTTGGCATTTGGCTGAGTAGTCAACCTGACATCACGGTTGTCTGGACTGCAAAGATTTTTGAGTTTTCTAATAAACTACGTATACAAATATACCAAATTAATAAAATGAAACCTTTCACCTTTTTATGTTGCAAGAAAATTTAGTTCTTTTATTTGAAAGATGAAATACAAATTGAGTTACATATAAATCAACGACTCAACATATATAAGAGATTTCACCCTGAGGAAGAGGTAGGACAAGGAGGGATAGAGACATCAGTAATCCCTTCTAACATCATCACGACACTCTTCATTGACGGACGAAGAGCTGGTTCATCTTGCACACACCAGAGCCCCACCTTAAGCATGTTTTCCAAAATCTTCTTATCTACTTCATCGCGGACAAGCTTATTCAACTCTCTGTTAATGAAGCACCTATAAGCCCAATTAATAAGAATGACTTCCTCCGGGTTTGACGCCTTAACATCCATATTTTTTCTACAGCATACGATTTCCAGGAGCACTACTCCGTAACTGTAAACATCTGCTTTCACTGATATTGGGGTGTTCTTTGACCATTCTGGCGCTATGTAACCTCTTGTTCCTCTCATCAAAGTGAAAGTTCTTGTTTGGTCGGGCATCAACAATTTTGCCAACCCAAAGTCCGAGATTTTAGCCATCCAGAAATCATCCATTAGGATATTCTGAGGCTTTATATCACAATGAATGATAGGTGCTTCACATTCATCATGAAGATAGAGAATTCCTCGAGCAACATCCAATGCCATTCTCACTCTCTCGTTCCAATCTGGAGATGTTTCAGAGTGAAAGAGAAGATCAGCAAGAGAACCATTGCTCATGTATTCATATACCAAAAGCCTTTTCGAGTCCGCAGCACAGTAACCAAGCAACCGAACCAAGTTCTTGTGATGAATTTTACCTATTACCTGCATTTCTGCGTGGAATTCTCTTTCACTACCGTCATTCATCATCTTTTCCAGCCTTTTCACGGCAACAAGCTTTTCACCTTTGTAAAAGGATCCTTTATATACTGCCCCGAAAGAACCCCTTCCCAGCTCTTCTTTAAATCCCTTGGTCGCCTTCTTCAGCTCGTTGTAAGAAAATGATCGCATCGTAAGCTCATCGGTCGAGCCAAAATTTCCAGTTTCCAACAGCCATTTGTATTTGGCAACTCGGTATTTGAAAACAAAAAATCCAGACATTCCAAGGAAAATGCATGAACATGTAATGAAGCTGACAGTCATTACGAGAATTAGTACAATTGTCTTCTTGCTTGTGGTTACTTTTGCCGCTTTCGGCGGGTCTGGAACAAAATTGCCACCAGCATCGCTTGTGATATTTCTCTTGCTCAATTTAAAGAAGGCTATAGCTGAGGACTGCTCACCTTGGTCTCTCCTAGCAGTTCTCAGTGGAAGCTTTTGTTTCTTGCATATCCCTTCCTTGTACAAAGCCACATCGCAATTGCAGTCCTCTGAACAGGATTTTCTGCAATCTTCTTCCTTGTCCATTTCCGCTTGGAAATATGGATAATCATCCCATGTGATCCTCTCCATTGAAGTGAGGTTATATAATTCTGTGCTTGTGTTCATTCCGGCGCATGTTTCTTCAATGTAATATCTCTCACACCCGCTATTCATTTCGTCAGGGTCAACAAAATCAGTACCAGGAAGACAACGGCATCCGGGTTGATCATCATACAGTGTACAGTAGCTGTTCCACCCACAAAAAGTCTTCACCAGACAAGCTTCTTCTGGTTTTCTCCATTTCAGGAATGTGTTGTTCTCACCATAATGAGAATACAAACGAAAAATTCCATCATGCCCGAGTGTTGCTTGGTAGATGATTGAGCTGTTGTATGGCGAAAAATCAGAATACAAAGTCTGGAGAGGTTCAGATTTGTTGTCGACGAAGACCAGTTCGCCAGTATAGTTTAGATATAGGCCGTGAACCAAAGGTCCGTTACCGTAATATCCATTGGCCCAGTAAGCCTCTGTCTCATAATATCCTGTGTTTGTGGGATATGAAACAAGATTCCCATCCCGTTGCATTCTCACACAAAACCGTCCGGTTGAGCTGTTTGTTTCCGATACACTGGAAATCAATTCATTCTCGGTATATAAAGTCTGGCCTCCCAGTATTGTGTCTGTGGGGAAGTTGAAACTTGACCAAATGATTTGAGAGCGGTGATTATAGAGCGCGAAATTGCCGGAATCAAACATCCTAGCGAAAGAAGCAGGCTCTGAGGATTTAGAAATGATTGTATTCTTGCTTTGATGATCAGTAGTTCTCAGAATGAGCTGACCATCCATGGTTAAAGTCAGCGTCGAATTTGAAGAAACAGGAGGATCGTTTCGATTTGCTGTCCAAACTATTGTAATATCTGCACTAGCGTTTAACCAAGTTCCCACCAAGAAGCCACCACCTTGTTTGTAGAACCCAAATGCGAAACTGCCAGAAGGCGATAACCATGAAGTGGGTTCTTTGTGAGGGAAGAGTGAAGAGCCTAGTTTTATCGGTTTTGATTTAATGTTAGTAGCATTAGCTTCAAACATCATCGTCAGGAGTAGCAATGAAACAATATATGCTGGAGCGGCCATGGGAGAAATCAGCTGATTAGTTAATTGATTCATTCTCTATTTAACTTTGAACTTGATCATCGAACGACAAGATAAAAAATTAAAAATAATAATAATAATAATTGATTATTGAAACTATGAAGAGAGAAGTAAAGTGTTGATTGACTTGTGGAAACTGCCTTCCAGAAAGATAACATATGGTTGACTGACTTATGAAACGGGGAAACACCACAACCCAACCTGTACTCTTCTTGGAATCTTGGATTGTCTGTGGAAAAAATGCAGTGACCGACAATATTGACTAAAATCCAAGTTTGCTTTTGGATGTAGGACCGATCTTTACCCTACATCCATTAAGGTTACTTATTGAATCCTGGAAATTTGAAATTTCTCCTGGTTCTGCTGTTTGCAAGGTTATTTTAGCTCACAGAATGCTATGTCAATAAGTCAATACGACAAGAATTCCATCCATTTCTTCTTGTTTGGAAAATTCAGCTTCAAGGGCCTGAATATTTTAAAGCATCCATTTGTGAAGAAAGAAAACTGTTTCAAGAGTTTTCTGAACACAGAAGAAAAATAAAAAAATAGGAAACAAAATTTTACTTGCTTCTTGTTTAGAAAATTCATCTTTTTGTAAGAAAAGATACTTGTTTGTTCAAGGATCTCTCTGATGGCTTCTGCACAAGTAATGTGCTTATTACTCTGTCTACTATCTCTGCGCATTCGAGCTCGATCAGAAAGCTCAAATATCATCGGACCAGGATCTTTTCTTTCCCTCAATACTAGCAGCAGTTCATGGCCCTCACCTTCCAGCCTTTTTGCATTTGGTTTCTATCAACAAGGCGATGGATTTGCAGTTGGCATTTGGCTGAATACCAAACCTGATATTACGGTTGTCTGGACTGCTAATCGTGATGACCCCCCGGTCTCTTCCAATTCTAGTATTCACTTTACCAAAGATGGTCGGCTGCTTCTTCGAACTGGCCCAGGCAAAATGAAACCTGTGGTTGAATTGCAAAATCCGGCTGTTTCGGCTTCTATGTTGGATTCTGGTAACTTCGTAATCCACGGAAAGAAATCCAAAGTCATCTGGCAAAGCTTCAAAAACCCGACTGACACCGTATTAGGAGGCCAAAGCATATCTTCAAACTCTGAATACTCCGAACTTCGTTCAAGTAAATCAACATTTGATCACTCAACAGGACAATATTGTCTCGAAATTAATGATAATGGAGATCTTGTCGCATTTCCTGCAAACCATACTGGTGTACCTGAGGAAGTTTATTGGAAAGTTCCAACCATTGTTTCAACCGTTGTACAGTTGAATCTCACTACTGGAGGTGTTTTACAGTTGATCACTGGTGATACGGCTCCTCAAATCTTAGGCAGCAGCTCTTATTCCGCCCAGAAGGAAACTGTAATTTATCGTGCAACACTTGATGCTGATGGGATCTTAAGGCTATACTCACATCGCTTTAAGTTCAGTGGAAAATCTAATGTGAAGGTGGAGTGGTTTGCGTTAAAGAACCAATGTGAGGTGAAAGGATCCTGTGGTTTTAATAGCTACTGTTATAGCAACAGTAGTGAAGCAGACTGTATGTGTTTTCCAGGGTTTGACTTCATCAACTCTGGGATGAGGTTTCTGGGCTGCTATAGAAATTTTAGTGACAAAGAAGGCTGTAGAAGGAAGGAGACGGGAGCGTTTTACCATACTGCTAATATGGAGAATACAAGTTTGGGAGGTTTTCCTTATGCTAAGCTATCAGTGAACAAGGAAGATTGCAGTGAATCCTGCTTAAAGGACTGTCACTGTGCAGCTGCATTATATTTTAACGGAACTTGCAGTATATTCAAACTTCCATTGATGTTCGGGATGAAGAATCAATCTGATTCAAGTACAGTCTTTATCAAGTGGAGTTCAGGCAACGCCAACCGTAGCATCCCACCTCAAATGATCCCACCACCTCTATATGAAAAAGTTGAGACCGAAAACAAGAAAAAACTTATTACAACTCTTGCTGCAACTTTGAGTTCCATCACATTCTTGTGTTTCGTCATTGCAATTTCTAGTTTCCTTGTGTACAAGATTCGAGTTAATAGATACAGAAAGCTTCCAGGAAATTCAAGTTTAGATCCAACCGAAGTGTTTTCATTAAAATCATTTTCTTATAATGAGCTCGATAAGGCCACAGATGGCTTTAAGGATGAGCTGAGAAGAGATTGGTTTGGAGCAGTCTACAGAGGGTATATGTCTAATGGCAAGAAGATGATTGCAGCAAAGCGTTTGGAAAATCCTATGGAAGAAGGAGAAAAGAAGTTCCGAGAAGAGATGGCAACAGTCCGCCAAACGCATCACAGGAACTTGGTTCGTTTGCTTGGATTTTGCCAGGAGGGCTCCAGGAAGGTTCTTGTTTATGAATATATGGGCAAGGGTTCTCTCGCAGATTTCATATTCAATGATGAAAGACGTCCTCTTTGGAGAGAAAGAGTGAGAATTGCATCAGATGTGGCGAGAGGGATCCATTATCTCCATGAAGAGTGTGAGTTCCCAATAATTCACCGTGACATTAATCCCAAAACCATTCTGGTGGATGATTCTTGGACTGCTAAGATCTCCGATTTCAACTTAGCGAAGCGTTTAATGCCGAATCAAACAGAGGCAATTGCTGGGTTCAAAGGGACTCGAGGTTACACAGCGCCTGAATGGCAAAAGAATGGCCTAATAACATTGAAATCAGATGTTTATAGCTTCGGAGTTGTGCTGTTGGAGATAATATGCTGCAGAAGCAATATGGAATTGAATGTTTCTACACCAGATGAAGTTCTTCTTTCTAGTTGGGTCTATAATTGCTTTGTTTCCAGGGAATTGAACAAGCTTATAGCGGAGGAAGAAGTATGCATGATAACCCTCGAAAGGATGGTGAAGGTTGGATTGTTGTGTACTCAAGATGATCCAAGTCTGCGGCCTTCCATGAAAAATGTTATTTTGATGTTAGAAGGAACTATGGATATTCCAGTTTATCCATTTCCAAATCTTCTTGTTTGAAGGAACTATAGCCTATAGGCATGTTCATTTTCAAGTTTCTCGTTTTCTGGGGTTGGTTTTGTTCGCAAAATAATGTGCATCATTTTAGTTTCCAAGTTATAATTACGTATTGCTAGAATGCTTTGTGTTACAGTAAATATACCTGTTATTTATGACTAAGCTTTTCTTCTAATATCAGTTTTTATGTCAAGGTCTATCACTGTTTTCGTCGACTTTGTGCCTCTTCGACATTGTTTTTATGATACTGTTTACACTAATGTGTTCAGTCTTCACCTACTAATTTAAACTTTCAGGTGAGATAACATTTAACATAATATCATCAGAATTTTTTTAATATACCCTTGATTTTCTTATCAGAGTTTCTTTAGTGTAGATTTTCTCTTCAAGAGAAATGATTGGTTGATTGCATATGAGGTTGTGGTGTTTTTAGATGCTTAGGTTTCACAAGTCAGTCAACCATTCCTTTATCTTTCTGAACTGTTTCCCCAAGTCTGCCAACTCATTTCTTTTCTCTTCATAGTTTCATTATTATTATTTTTTTATCAACATATTTATTACCTTGAATAACTATTTTTCCTCCATCACTATTTGAAATAATGGATTGATTTTCAAATAGTATTAAAAATTTAAGTGATTGGTTTATCAGACTGGAGGTTGTGGTGTTTCCTCGTTTCACAAGTCAGTCAAGCACCATTTGTCATCTTTCTGTAATGCAGTTTCCACAAGTCTCTCTTCATATTTGTTGTAATGTCATACCTCCTCCGCAAGGTATTGTCCGCTCCGGTGTGGTCCGGCCCATTGGAGCTCACGGGTTTGTCCTCTTGCAATCCATACTACAAAAGGAACCTCGCAAGTGGGTACGGGACCATCTCTTATATGGCACTTCACTCTTTCACGACCAGGTGATGTGGGATCCCATACACTCTCACCCCCTTCGGACCCAAAGTCCTCGTTGACCCTTCCTGGGCAGAGCATGGCTCAAGTCCCACACTTTCTGCTGGTCAATAATCAATTTTCATTTTTTGATTTTCATCTTCTCAAGTTAAATTGATAATGTAGCAATGGATAGTTTCATTGTTAATGTTTGAAGCTAATGCCGCTGCTAAATCTCAATAAACAATATAAGCCTAGACATGATATCGAGCCAGAGATTTGTGGTTGGCCTTTAGTCCGTACCACAAAAATTCGATGGAATCCTATCAAAGATTGGTGGTAAATATTTTATGAGCTTGTTTGATTGAGTTCTCTATTGATAAAATAGATTATTTAAAGTATTGATACAGAAATCTATACCAACTAGCATGATCCGATCGACCTTGGCCGGATCGAAACTGATGTATGCATGATTATGGGTAATCAGCAATGAATGAATAACAATGTAGAAAAGTAAATGGCAATGAGAATTTTTAAAGTGGTTCAGCGAGGTACACTCTTAAACCTACGTCCACTGTTTTGTATTTGCTATGAGAGCTTACAATGAAAATTCTATGAGAGTTTTGTAACCCCTTTCTCATCGTCTAAGGGGGTTTATATACAAGGTTGTACAAAGGAAAGAGCGGAAATAAGGGATTACAATTGATCTGAATCGGAATCCGATATTCTCATGATTGAGTACTGTGATTGCGCAATGATCGTTGTTAATCTAGTCATTCCCACAATATTTGGAATCTAAAGTCATGCGGGAATTGATTGAATGATTGCTCGGATTGTTCACGACTAACTTGTACTGGGTCGCTTATGTTGGGTCAGTCAATCGTCGTTGCTGAGTTGATTCTAGGTCGAGCTATATCCTCACGGTAGCCCAAGTTTGGCGGAAAAATCACACACAACATCTGCCTACTAGTGTTCGATGCTCATTTTGGGCTTTGACGACTATTGCTCGATTTGATGTCAAGCTCGACCTTATCAGCAGGTCTCTAGGTGTAGGTTCGGTCGAGCTTCAAGGGTCAACCTTATGTCTGGCCGACGTACTTCACACTTGTGTCTTTATTTTCCATGGTACTTGTCAAAACTCAGAATGTGAAAAATTAGGGCAAACATGTAATTTCCATGTGGTCTTGTTGCATTAAATGCGACAGCCTTTGGTTGTCAAGTTTCGTCGCGCGTGGGCGACTACAACTTTTCAAGCGTGAAGTCGAGGTGACGGGCAGCGACGGTTATCATTACAACAGTTTGACGATTCATTGCTCCCTACGGATGGTCGACATGTGGCCACATCTAAGGGCTAAGATTACTCGACAAATGAAGGGCCAAGATTAACTGTAGTTCGACGGCTACGATCGAACCTTGCCCTTTCGTCTCCCATGCAAACCACTATAAAAGGTAACAAAGTAATTAGGATACTCACTCTGAAAGTTATCTGACTCCTTTATTCTCTTTGCCGTTATTTCTACATCATCACGGTGGTCTTTCCAACGAGTTTTCTACACTTCTCTTATTCCGGTAAGGTTCTTTTCCCTTCCTTTTTTCGTTTTTCTGATTTTCGTGTCCAAGGGTGGTTGTTGTAGTGGCCACATTATATGTTTTAAGGATTTAGTAGGGTTTTTTGGGTGCATCTTTGACGGTCTCAGGTTTTATAGGGGTTTTAACGCGGTGGTTGCGGGTGCCCTGGGATGGTCGCGTACGTTAATCGTGTTGTGCGGGCTATCTTAGGTGCCTGAACTGGAAGCGAATGTGGAATGGTTGCCAAGTTTTTTGAGCTCTGACACATGTTCACTTCTTTTTCAGGTGCCCAGAAGCGAGCTATCACCATGTATTCTTCCAGCAGTCATACCATCAACTGTATGTTTGATTCGCCCACGGGCTTGGTAGTCCTTGGGGACGGGACCCCTGAGGTCTCCTAAGAATTCGTCACATGAAGCTCGAACCCTAATGTTACGGGCTTGTTCGATCGTGCTTCAATACAGTTGGCTCACTTCAGTCGTCCCTAACCTATAGGCTGCAAAAAGAACCTCAATCCTTGATTATCCTCGAGGATCTGGAACGCATAAAAATGGTCTATGCATCGCAGCTTAACTTGATGGTCCCCAGGGAGTATTCTCGAAAGAACCCCCCACCCGATGGGTGGCGATCTCTTAGACCCTCCTTAGGTGTGGGGTATCCATTCCCCCTTACTATTTTATTAATAGCGTGCTGAGGCAGTTCGACATCGTACCTCTCCAACTGACCGCAAATTCTTACGTAATCATCATCGCTCTGTACATCACATACATGATCACTAAATTGGGTGAGCCATCCGTCCAGGAACTCGTCTATCTGTACAGGTTCAAGAAAGGGCAAGACCAGACGTATGACCTTTGCAAAGCAAGGAAGGTATGTTTCAACGAACTAGTCGTCGTCCCCAAGAAGGTCTCACATTGGGACTCACAATTTTTCTTTTACAAAGCCCGGGTGACTGGTGTCTTCGCTCAGAAAGTGAGTCAGATTTTGACTTCTCGTGTGCGTGAGGGTCGCTTTCGAGCTTTGTTTTACAGCTAACCGAGTTGTTTTGTTTTGTAGTTAACGTCGAGCAGAATTATCTTCCAGTCGCGACCTTGCAAAGGCTCCTGCGTTTCATAGGGGCTATCTTAGGAAGGTTCATAGGGATAGGTTCCAACATGTTTTGGGACTATCTCAGGAAGCCTATATTAGTAATATTCTTGAGAGATTTAGGATGAAGAATTATTCACTCAGTGTTGCACCCATTGTTAAGGGTGACAGGTTCAATCTGAACCAATGTCCTACACTTGAGATTGAAAAGGAACAAATAAAAACCATTCCTTATGCTTCAGCTGTTGGAAGCCTAATGTATGCTCAAATATGTGTTAGACTTGGCATTACGTTTATAGTTGGCATGTTAGGAAGATATCAAAGTAATCCAGGTTTAGATCATTGGAGAGCTGCAAATAAGGTCATGAGATATCTTCAAGGAACTAAAGGTTTCATGCTTACTTATACATGGTCTAACATTTTAGAAGTCGTTGGATATTTAGACTCAGACTTCGCTGGCTGTGTTGATCCTCGGAAATCAACATTCAGATATGTTTTTATGTTAGCCAGAGGTGCTATATCGTGGAGAAGTACCAAACAATCTTTGGTTGCCACTTCTACCATGGAAGTTGAGTTTGTTTGCTATTTTGAGGCTACTACACAGGGTATTTGGTTGAGAAGTTTCATTTTTGGGCTTAACGTTGTTGAGTCTATCTCTAGGCCAATAAGGTTGTATTGTGACAATTCAGCTGCTGTGTTCTTTGCTAAGAACAACAAGAGTGGAAGTCGTAGTAAACACATCGACATTAAGTACTTAACAATAAGGGAACACATTAAAGCCAAAGAAGTGCTCACTAAATACATACATCCGAGCAGATGATTGTTGATCCTCTAACAAAAGGCATGCCACCAAAGATGTTCAAGGATGATATAGTTCAAATGGGGTTATGTCCCACTTTGTCACTATGAGAGGTAATATTTTCATTCTCTAAAAATCTGCAATTTAGGGTTTTTTTTTTCTCTTTTAAGTTGTATACATTTTGATTGGAGACAAACAAACATTCAGGAGGACCTGGAACAAACATTTGAGGTTTGTTCATAAAGTAATATTCCACATTTAAGCGTTTATTTAGAAAGAGAAAATTGCATAGTAATACATGGAAGGTAATACTTGTTTAAAAGGGACTTACCACTATGATGCATGCAATTCTATTTTTCTAATTAAACATAAAGAATATAAAACTACTACGTTGTGGATTGTATAATAAAAGTTTGGACCAAATGGGAGAATGTTAGAATTTTAATTAATTAAAATTCATTGCCTAAAATTACTATTTGGTCTTTCACTTTTATATATTAGTTTTACATAAAATTTAACTATTAAGCAGTTTCTTAGCAGTTGTCTTTGATGGAAAGATTTATGCGTACTTTGAAAAGGGTAATAGTTACAAGTCCCCAATACACGCAATTAATTCTGATTTCTCAAAAACCATTGTTCTAAGAATTGCAGTGTATTGGAAGAGTTTGTTATT